CAGTGGCTCACAAGTATGATATTTCCTTATAATGATATTTCCCAGTAATTGAAGAAGTGGCTCACAAGCACGATACCTCCCAGCGATTGAAGAAGTGGCTCACAAGCATGATATTTCCCAGTGATAGAAGAATTTCTTAAAACCATAGTGACTCACAGGCATGATTTTTCCCAGTGATTGTAGAATGGCTCAATTACATAGAGACACACATGCATGATATTTCTCAGTGATTGAAGAATGCCTAAATCCCACAGTGATTCACACGCATGATATTTCCAATGATCGAAGACGGCCTTAATTCCACGTTGGCTCTCAAGTGTGATATTTCCCGGTGATTGAATAATGCCTTAATTCCTCAGTGACTCCCAAGCATGATATGTGCAGTGATTAAAGAATGACTCGATTCTATAGTCATTCACAGGCATGATATTTCCCAGTGATTAAAGATGGCCTTAATTCCACAGTGGCCAACAAGCATGATTTTCCCCTGTGATTAAAGAATGGCTTAATTCCACACTGACTCACAGGCATGTAATCTCTCAGTGATTGAGAATGTATTAATTCCCCAGTGATGTATAACGATATTTCCAAGTATTTAAAGAATGCCTCAATTTCGTAGTGGCGTACAGACTTGAAACTTCACAGTGATTGAAGAATCTCTTATTTCCAAAGTGGTTCACAAGCATGATATTTTCTAGTGATTGAAGAATGCCTTAATTCCACAGTGACTCACAGACATGTAATTTCTCAGTGATTGAGAATGTATTAATTCCACAGTGATGTATAGTGATGTTTCCCAGTGATTGAAGATTGCCTAATTTCCATATTGACTCACAGGCATAATATTTACCAGTGATTGAAGAATGCCTTAGTTCCATAGTGACTCACAGGCATGATATTTCACATTGATTGAAGAATGCCTCAATTACACAGTGATGTTTAATGATATTTCCTAGTGATTGAAGTCGCCTTATTTCCATATTGACTCACAATCAAGATATTTCCCAGTTATTGAAGAATGCCTCGATTCCACATTGGCTCACGAGCATGATATTTTCCAGTGATTGAAGATCACCTTAATTTCACAGTGGCTGACAAGCATGATATTTCCAGGTGATTGAAGAACGCCTCAATCCCGTAGTGACTCACAGGTATGATATTGCCCAGTGATTGAAGGTCGCTCTAATTTCACAGTGACTCACAATCTTGATATTTCCCAGTGATTGAAGAATGTCTTAATTCCATAGTGACTCATAGGCATGATAATTTTCTGTGATTGAAGATGGCTTTAATGCCACAGTAGCTCACAAGCATGATATTTCCCTGTGATTGAAGAATGTCTTAATTCCATAGTAACTCACAGGCATGATAATTTTCTGTGATTGAAGATGGCTTTAATGCCACAGTAGCTCACAAGCATGATATTTCCCTGTGATTGAAGAATGCCTTGATTTCATATTGAATCACAATCAAGATATTTCCCAGTGATTGAAGATGGCCTTGGAGGGGATGCTACAGGCTGGCATACCGGGGGCTTGGCTGACAATTTATATTTATTTTGATCTTGATTAGTATATACCTCGCTTGGTGTTTGTAATGTTATCTATATCTAAATTTCCCGTATACGTTTTGCATCAGGTGTATATCTGATCCGTATCTATGCTCACGGTACGTTGGCAACGTACACCTTTGTAGGGTTACTCAGCACCATCGAGCCGTTCCAGTACTCCGGGTTTAAGCTGTCGTATAACCATAAACGGATCTGCATTCACATTAGACGCAGCGAACAATTCCATGGCCGAGATATCTGTAGATAGAGACCGATTAATTTGATGCAGAAAGAACACCAGCAGAAATATATCAATTGATGTACAGAGTTAGGAATAGGGTCGGAATTGTGTGTATCCATACACTAAGCGGAGAAGGCCGGTCGGACTTCTTTAGTATACGGTTTTCGGAAACGTACCGTGACCAACAATTCATCTTTATCCATACCTAGTTTACCTCGTGACATCGTTATATTTAAATGTACATATATACGTTATTATTACTGTACTTTGTATGTCCCGCGACTAATATTGAAATATATATATACATGATATACGTATACACACACACACACATATACGTATACACACACACACACATATATATATACATACACACATGCATATATGCGTGTGTATATACGCATGTGTGTATGTATATATATACATACATATATATATATATATAAATGTGTGTATATGTTTGTGGGTAATAAAAAAAAGGTATACATGTGTGCATAATTATTCTCCCGTATACACATACATGCATGTATATATATATATATAATGTAT